CAGAATTTTGGAATTTCCAAAAGTTAGGGGGAGGAAAACAACTAGAAGTGAAATCGAAAAAGATTGAAATAGCTAAAAAGTCATTTCAATTAGGCCACGCTCCTTTTTCCTCCTGTATGCTTTTTAGGGGTGTCCCATTAGGTTTGATGGTAAGTGTCAAATGAGGTATAACTTAGCTAAAGTGTGTAGTAAGTGATGGGACCATAAATNAGGTGTTTGCAAAAGTTAGGTCACCATTTCCAAATGACCTTGAAAAGGCCTAACATGACTCTGGTGTATTTTCTAGCTCATTTGAAGGTGGTGGCCTAAGTTTCTTAACATGATTTTTCTAGGCCATCAAAATTTATGTCCAAGAAGTGGTTTAACGTTAACCTGGTGCGCTCTGATGTCATTTTCCCATCGTGGCCTAGGAATATCAAGTTGGAAAAAGTTAGGCCAGTATGGTGAATGACTCGAAAAACGCATCAGACCATTTCTAGGTCATCCAAGGCCGGTGGCCTAACTTTCTCAACGTCAATTTTCTAGGCAATCAAAATTTATGTCCAGAAATAAGCCTAACATTCACCTCTCGTGTTTCTATGCAATAATTTTACCATAGTGGCCTAGAAAATTCAACGTAAGAAAGTTAGGCCACAAATCCACATTTTACAGGATGAAATCGTATTCTGTGACCGGTGTGATCGTGGCTTCCACACCTTCTGTGTGGGCCTGAAGGCGTTGCCACGTGGCACGTGGATATGTGAGAGCTACTGCTCAACGGATCGACAACATGCAGCACGACGAGCGTCGAACGCAACGGTGTCCAGTGGAAGACGTTGAGGGAATTCTTGAGACGTGGATTTTATAATTTTATTCTATTTATTCTTTATGGCGCGTCCAAAGCTTCCAAATCTGGGATTTCTGGGCCCAGAAAGTAGTCCAAAGTGACGATCAGATTCCCAAGATTACCAATTGGGCAATATTTTAACCAGTGCGACAATGTAATTTTTCATTGCGACAAAAGGTACAGAAAATCATGTAGATTCACATAAAATAAAGAAAAAACTCGAAAAAAATTCCTTCATTGAGAAAAACGTCATCGAAAAATGACTTTTTTCGGATAAGAGCC